CCCTACACTGAACATTTTGAGACCTTAAAGCGAAGTGACTATAGATGTATGAAAATGGAACATCTCTAACTGCAAATAGGAACAGGAACCAGGAACCAGGAACTAGGAAGCAGCCTTAACTGATCCTGATCCTTTGGCCTGATTTAGCTTTTCGGTTATTTCTCCAAGGCCCAGCAAAAGGCCTGGCACATAGACAGGGTATAAATGAAACCCCACTCAGTAGTTGACTTTCGAATTTCTCTTGTATCTATATGCTTGCCTAAGGGCTTCTTTTACAAAAATGTACTGAGGCACAAGAGAGGCAGGAATAGTTTTGTTCTTTTTTTTTTTAAACTGGTTTCCCTAATATAAGGATTTCTTCTTTTTCAAGTTTATCCTGTCCTTGTGAAAATTAATTCTACTTCTGTCATCCCCTTGCTCAGAACTCCGTTTTTTTTTCCAGATAAACATTAAACTCCAAGTTTGGGAGGCTCTCTAGGCTTCAATCCTTCAATTATCTTCTCTTTCCTCTTTATATTTTTTAACCATTATTTACTTAAATTTATTTATTATTATTTTTAAAATTTGCTGTAGTGTACCTGTGCTCACCAAAGAGGGAAGGATGGAGAGAGAGAGAGAGAGCGAGCGAGCGAGCTGTCAGGTCCTGGACTCAAACTGCAGTTGGTCATGTGGGAGTCCAATGCTTTAACAACCACACCACTTGCTGGCTCCATCATTCCTCTTTAAATCTATCCCTTTAAAAAGATTTGCTATGTACTTTATAAGAGCTTCCTTCTGTTTTGTTCTTATGCTTTCTTTCTGGGAGGAGGTTTCTTAGGCTGACAACAGAATGTAAACTTGATAAAGGCAGAGAATTCTCGTCTTGTCCTCCTGGAGCTAGTAAAGGAATCATGCCTGGAGTAATTGGTGCTCAATAAATAGATAAATGTATCCAGGAAGCTGGTAGTCAGATATGGAGTATACATTTGGGGCCCTGGCTATCAGAGTAGTATCTGGGAGAAAGTAGTAAGGTTTGTACCTGATATAAATCATAGTGCTTTTTTTTTCCCTCCCCTTTAAACAGAAAATTGAATTTATTACCATGTAGGATGTTCATTTTGCTTGCACAAAAATGATACTAAGTAAAGACAAACAATGCCGATTTAGTTGATTTCTCAATATTCCCCAAAGCTTACCTGATAAAGATTCTAGGGCTCTTCCTTGGACCCTTATTTAGTAGGATGGAATAGGGCCCAGAAATCTGTATCAAAGTAAATGCCCCAGGGGATTCTTAGCTCAGGCAAGTGTGGGCAACTCTTGCTCTAGAGCAATCTCAGCCTTGGCTGCACAGTCAAATTACCTGGGGGTTATAATAAAATACTGATGACTGGTTCCACCCTCAGAGATTCTGGTGCAATTGACCTGGTGTAGCCTAAGCACATGCATTTTTAAGAGCTCTTTCAGTAATTCCAATATGCAGTCCAGGTGAGAAGCACTTGTCTAAGGGGTTTTTCAAAGGGTGGACTATGCTCCACTATCATTGAGCGTCATCTGGGGTACTTGTTAAAAATGTGGACTTCTCTAAGACTTAGAGTTTTAAATATGTGTATAGCTGTTTTTCTCCCCCCTAAGAAGTGGTGAAAGTTCAAGAACTGCTATTAAAGAACCACTTGTCTTTCCCCTTTTTATCTTTGGGGAAAATGAAGTCCAAGAAGAAAAGGATTATGTTCATAGTCAAAATGCAAGTCTATGCCGAAAAAACCCCAAGGATTCAGGTCTCCTGCCTGTAAATCCAATACTCTTTCCAATACTATGGACTTCCTTTTAAAAGACAGATGGCTAAGAGGGAAAAAAAAAATAAAAAGAAAAAAACGGGAAGAGGTGAAAATGTTGGTCTCTGTCCTAGGGGATTATCTGAAAGCAGAGAGTCAAATGCCTTCTGTTTCAGAGACAGGGTCTAGAGCACTATGCTGCCCAGGCTGGCCTTGAACTCGTGATCCTCTTGTCTCAGCCCCATGAGTAGCTGGGATTATGGGTGTGCACCATCATACTTGGCTCTTCAAATGCTTTTTGAATTGGCATCTAGGGACCAAAATCCTCAATGAGAAAGGCCCTGAGCCATACCCGTGATTAAGGAGCTGACTTGCAACACCAGGTCGTTGGATTTCTCCAGGAGGCACTGGCTCTCTGGGTCTAGGCTGCTGGCTCCTGGCCCAAGGTGGTCCCTATGGCCCTCCTGGCATTGCCAGATGGCACTATGCGTCTGAGGGCTGAGGGGAAGGAAAGGCTTGCTGAGCTTCTGGCTGAAGTACCGCTGGATCTGATCTAACTCGCTCAGATTCTTCCTGTAAGAAAAAGGGGGAGGGGAGAGATGAAGACAAAAGAGTCACTCATAAAAACGACAAATCTTTTATGTTCCCCGAGCAGTCTGCTTCTTGAGCCAGAAACCCTGATACCTCTCACTTGTTTTATTAATAGATAGAACACTCTCTAATCCACCATTCGTTCTTGACTCTCTGACTACAATTCCACTATTGAGGTCAACAAATTTTTTCCCTTCTATGTGGCTAATGCAGTTCCTCTTCTGATGTCCAGCAAAAATGCCATCTCCTCATAGAGAACCATTCTCCCAACAGAGTCTCGATGCTGTGGTATGCCCAGAGCTTTAAGGTAGCCCTGGATCACGGGCATGACCGTATCTGGTGTATTCAGGGAGGTCTCTGGACATGAACCAGCAACCTTCTAATGTGGGATTACCCTGTGGAGTGTTTTACTACTGTGCCTCCACCTGGCCCCTAGGAACCATTTTTGCCTGTCATTCCAGTCCTTACCTCCCCTTACTCTGGCAGAAGAAAAGGCCTACTCTGAGGGCTAACACTGTCCTATGCTTCCTTATAGCCATTCCTGACCCCTCAAGTGAGCAACAGCTTCTAACCAGCCCCGCCTAACCCTTCCACTTGACTGAAGGACCCCTTCTTGTGCTCCATAGTTCTTTCTATACTCTTCAATCACATCATTTGTTTCTTTCACATCTATTTCCCCGTTTCATTCTGAGTTCTGTGCTGACTCTAACACCTACTGCATTCAGCATAGTACCTGGAACAAAATGAATGAACAATTAAAGGATAAATGGACATGAATAGTGACTGTGAAAAAGAAAATTCTGTTCAAAAACCTTTAATGGGGTCATATGCACTCTCACTACTCGCCAATGAGAAATCACATCAGCTAGAGTTGCATAGATTTTTATATTTTATACTTTCAAATACATTACAGCCACTAGTGAGATCAATAATTATATTTACAAAAAAGGAACTCGAGGGTCAGCGCACATAAGTGATTTGTTCAGGATGAAGAGAAGCAGGGCTATTCAGAATCTGGGACCCAAGTCTTGTGCTTCTTCCACGATAACAGGTGGGCTGTCCCAACTCAGGTGTGCCTTCCTCACACCTCTGCTGATCCTACAGCGTGAGCTCACGCTACTTCTGATCTGTCCCTGTTCTATTCAACCTTTAAGGCTGCAGCTCACATTTCACCTTTTCAAAGTCTATTACCCACAATCATTGGGCCATCTGTCCCCTAAACTCCTTCACTCTTGGCATCTCCATCACATGTTCTGTCCTAGATTTTCCCACTCCATGTCAGTTTAGTTTCCCTATGCAGGCCATGGGCATCTGGTAGCAGGAATAATATCTCAACTTTTCTGTCTCTCTAGTACATCTGGTACAACAGGCACAACACAAGCACTAAACACCTATGAAGTGAACTCAGTCTTTTTCTCCTTCCGTTAGGAACAGTAGTCTGCGTATCTTAATTCAAATTCACATAAAATGAGAGGATGAAGCTGATCCTTATTCTAGTACCAGAAGTCAAGGTGCTATCAATCAAATACAGTGAGGTCTATCATATCGCTTAGGTGTCCACATGTCACAAGGACAAACACCTGCTGTGGGGACATGCAAACAAGTGTAAACTGGGGCAGTTCAGAAAATATGCAAACCTGCTGGCTTGTCACAGGTTCTAGGTGTAGGACCAGGGCTCTTCGACTCACTGCCACCAAGCTGTAATTTTCTCATCTGTGAGACAGTTTCTAAACACAGTAGTTCACCCTTACCTGTGGGGGACATTCCAAGACCCTCATGATGTCTGAAACTGGGGATAATACTGATCTTATACATATATTGCTTTTCTTATACATATACATATATATATATATATATA